ACCTAGCAGCCAGGTCTACTTTGATTACGTTAAATAGGCATCTCAGCCTTTTGTCCTGGGTTTGAAACTTAACATACAATCACTGTTCACCAATCTCATCCCCATCCCAAGGGTTTCTCTGTGTAGCCCTGGTCATCTTAGAATTCACTCTATAGTCCAGGCTGCCCTCAAAAGAAATGAGAGATCCCCCTGTCTCTGCCTCCCAAGCTGGGATTGCCTAGCTTTCACTGTTCATCAGTAAAGGAAATCCTAGCAGGAACCTGGAGGCAGGCGCTAATGCAGAGGTCCTAGAGGAGTACTGTTTACTGGCTTGCTCAGCCTGCTTTCTTATAAAACCCAGGACTGTCAACCTAAGAGTGATACCACCCATAATGAGCTGGGTCCTCCCCCATCTATTATTAATTAAGCAAATGTCCTACAGGCCTGGCCTGTAGGTGGTTTATTTGGTTTTGTTTTGTTTTAACCCCTTCAGTTGAGGCCCCCGCCTCATAAGAGTCTCTTGTGTTAAATTGACATAAAACCGTCCAACACACTTCTTGTCACATCTCTGCCCCAGAAATGCTGTCATACAAGCTTCAGGCTGACAGATGGGTACAGATCCTCTGTGTCCTGCATAGTAGGAAACAGGCTTGGTTAGCAGTTTACCGGTTACTGTCACAGTTAGTCCTCTAGACACCAAGGCCTGTCTTAGCTCTCAGACCAAGAGGTTGCATCAGTCCTTTCGGTGTTCAGCAAAGAATGTAGGGTTTATGGGGGCAGAGTCTTCTCCAGTAAGGCAGGTTCCCTGTGTCTCTTGATAGCCAGCAGCATGGCAGGGTGAGTGACACTCTTGTTAATGAGTAGTTTGGGAGGTACTGACTATAGCACAGGAAGGGGCCTGGGATAGCCTCAAGCTCTGCTCTGCAGGTGGCCTACCCTTTCAGCAACTGGGAGCCAGCTTTCTGCCTACGCAAGCTATTGCCAGCCTGGACTTGCTTTTGATCCTGTGGTGCTGTGCTGGTTTTGAATCAACTTGACACAAGAGTCATTGGGAGATGAGGGAGTCTCAATTGAGAAAATGCCTCCATAGGATTGGGCTTTAGGCAGACTTCTAGGGGCATTTTTTTATTTGGTAATCAGCGGGGCAGCACCATTTTCCTGGGTGGTGCCATCACTGGGATATTGGTCCTGGGTGCTATAACAAAGCAAGCCAGTAAGCAGCACCCCTCCATGACCACTGCCTCCAGGCTCCTGCCCAGACTTCTTTTAGTGATAGAATTGTGAGCCAAGAAGCTCTTTCTTCCCCAACTTGCTTTTGGTCATGGTGTTAATACAGCAATAGAAAACCTGATAGGAGGCTGCTTGCCTCAGAACCTTAGTAGGCTTTTAGCTCTTTGCTTCTGTTAGTTCCATAGACAGATACTGCTTCTCATCCAACCTCCCACTTCTGCCTCCAGACAGGGTTTCTCTGTGCAGCCCTGACTCTCCTGTAATTCACTCTGAGGACCAGGCTGGCCTTGAACTCACAGATCTCCCTGTCTCTACTTCCTGAGCACTGGTATTAAAGGTGTGCGCCACCACCACCCAGCCTTTACCAGTTCTTTACTAGGCTTTTATGGTTTAATTTTTAGTCTTAGCATTTGAGTTTAGAGCTCTCCTACTAATATTTTTTAAAATTATTTTCATTGTGTTTGGGTATTTAGTTTGAATGTGTGTCTACATTATGTGCATGTCTGCTACCCTCGGAGGCCAGAAGATGGAGTTATATCTCCACAGACTGCAGTTACTAACGTCTGTGAGTAACCAGAAATCGAGTCCTGGTCCTCTAGAATGTCTCCCCAGTCCTTTCCTAATCTTATGGTGCTAATTTTTTTTTTTTTTAAGCTTTCTTTGTTCCTGTTCATTTCTGCTTTTACAGACTGGCCTGTTCTTTCCCAAACTTCACTTTTCTAGCACATCCTCCCCTCCTCCCCTGGAGCTGTTGGTTCAGCCACAGAAACTGCTTTGAGCTCTGCCAGTGGCTCTTTGCTATTCACTGTGTGTTATGCACTCTCCTTGCCTACCACCCTGGTGGTAGTCTGTGCCATATACAGTAATTTCTGATTTTTAATCACAGCATAAACTCCATTCCTTGAAACAGTTTCTGGGTCAAGAATAATCAGGAATAGGTTCCCTGCCTCCTTTCTGTTCAGAATAGAACATAATAAAATCCCCCCTCCCCAAAATTCCTGCCAGGGATGTCCTTGCAGTATCTGGAATCTGACACCAGACTGTTCCCTTATTGTGCTGCTGCCTTCAGTGTGGTCCTCCAAGGGCTTTATGAACAAGAGCAGGGCACTCTAGGTTTAAGGGGTCAGGCTTCCTATATGGTGAACAAGCTTCCAGCATTTTGTAAGCTTACCAGTGGGACACAGGAGGCTAGGAGATGGAGCTAATGGTTTGACCATGAAAAAGTGGACAATCTGGTAAACACACTGTGACAGTGGAAGATAAACCAGGGTTTCATGTATCTTAATAGTCATATGTCACTGGGTGGTGGTAGCATACACCTTTAATTCTAGCACTCGGGAGGCAGAGGCAGGCAGAGTTCAAGGCCAGCCTGGTCGACATAGCAAGTTCCAGGACAGCCCAGGCTACACAGAGAAACTCTGTGCAGTGGGGGAGGGAGACGACACAACACAGGTCTTTTGGCTGGCACCCTCCCACATTTCAGACGTGCTCTAGCCATTGGCTTCCAATGTGTGGTTTCTCACCTTGACTGGCAGGCATGTCAGAGGCTCTTAGGTGATGGTACCTTTCTTGATTGGTGTATGGGGTATACATTTGTTGAAACTGGTCATACAGCACAGATTTGTAAGCATCTTGTTGGATGTAAATGCTCACTTGAAAGATTAATAACTATATAACTCTGGCTAATGATATACATGCTGCAATCCACAGCAGGTTATATGCTAAGTGCAGGGTGGAGTGGAGAAGACAGATGGGCCAATGTGAAAATGCAAATGCAGTCTCTGTCCTTTGGTGTTCTGTGTGGTTAGAACCCCACCAGGGCACCAAAATGTGAGGACACTCAAATGCCCTGTATAAATGGTGTAATGTTGCATTGTGTTTACCCCATGTCCTCTGTGTTAGATGACCAGTAATACCAAACACAATGAAAATGATACATGTTTGTTTGATCAAGTGGTGGGGACAAGAAGAGTCTGCACATTTCTGTAAATGTTTGGTTTGTAGCCCTGGAACCTTGGTTTATGGAACCTGCAGACAGAATCCTCACTGCAGGAAAATGTTAACAATTTTTAGATGGTGGATATGTTATCCATTGTAAAGTCACTTCAACTTTTCTGTGTTTAAATAACTTCATAGGGTTGGAGAAAGGGACATTTGCACACAAGAAGGCAGCCCATTGTGTCAAAGCTTTTGGCAGATGAACCCATGGTGTCTGAGGCCAGAGATAGACTGGAAAGGGACAGAACTGAGGTGGATAAGGCCAGTGGCATGGGTGTCCATCAAGAGACCTTTGGTGAAATAGGGTTAAATGCAGAGGGACAGACATATGAGGGGCTCCTGAACCAAGAGCTTAGTGAAGGCTGAGACCAGTGAGCTTGAGGAAGGGACTGCTCCTTGTGAATAAGACATCAGGGGAAAGACTGTGCAGGGTTTTTGTAGTGTGGCCTCTGGAAGGTGGCATTCCCCAGGGTTAAGAGGAGGCACTTGAAGCTGGGCGTTGGTGGCAGAAGCAGGCAGATCTATGTGAGTTTGAGGCCAACCTGATCTACACAGTGAGTGCCAGGACAGGCTCCAAAGCAATACAGAGAAATCCTGCGTGAAAGAAAGGAAGGGAGGAGGCACTTGAGATAGGAGGTACAATGGTCTAAAGATAGGGTGGACATGAGGGAGTATTCTGAAGAATACATGGTTTGGTGAATTAAAAGTCACTATGGCAGGTGAGATTCTACTGAGCTAGTTTGAAGAAAGGAACACACAGAAGGTAAAGTGTGTAAAAATGACATCTGTGAGTGCTAATGGGCAGGAAAGACTGTGGCTGCAGGTCCTGGATGGCACAGGGAAGACCATATGAGGGAGGTACTGGTGAGAGAGCTGTTTGGGTGATGCCGTTGCTGCAACTATACCTGGGGTGCGATGTCAACATCACTGCAAGTGTGGAGGCTGTGGAAGAGGTTATCCACAACAACAGCTGGTGAAGACTAAGTATCATATCACCAGCAAGCCTTGGGAAAGTCTGGAGGTGCCGAGATGCGAAGACAGGCCAGCTTCAGATGGCAAGAGGAGCTTGCCATTCAGAGAGTTTTGCTGACAGATGAAATGCCAGCTGGGCGATGGCAGTGGGTATAAAAGGCGGCTTGGCCCAAACAATAATTCAGCGTATCCGAGTAACTCAGACATGTGCAGCAATGTGGCTGATGGTTTGAAGACATGGTGAACGCCTTGGCCAGTTTGTTTTCTGGGTAGAGGAGGCTGGAAGGAGCTGCCAATGGCTAGAGCACATGCTAGGTCATGTGCCACCAACATGCCTGCATGGGGAAACTGGAGGCCCAATTACACTCCCACGGACAACCAGGGTGCTGCTGGGCTGTAGGGCTTGCCAGGAAGTTGCACTGGTGGCACAGCCTCCTGCCTGGGGTGTGTCCTGCCCTATCCTCAGGCTCCTGGTAGCACACTAGAGGTAGGGTGGGAACAAGAGATAGAAATGGAAGATGGAAGACAGATGCACCCCAGGACACTTCTTGCATATTATGCTAACAATATGGTGGACAGTCATAGTGCCAGCCATGAAGCAAGTGACTTTAACTTCCTGATGCGGAAGAAGACAAGTTTTAGAGATGAGTGTTGAGACCCTTTTACAGGTTTCAGCTCTGAGCAAGTTGGTTAGCAATCCTGGGGAGGCTTCTACTCCAGCATGGGCACACTTCTGGGGGCATGTCCTGAGAGGTTGAGCCCCAGACCTGTTCCTGCTGGGGATGTGCTAACGAAGACAGCAAGAAATCCAGGCACCAGGATTTCTGAAAAAGATGTGATGCTTTATTATATAAAAGTATCTTCAGCTCTCTCACTTCCCAGCCAGGCTGGTCGAGTCCTTGATTGTGTGTGGGCTGTGGGGCACCTGGGCCACAGTTGCAGGCAGAAAGGCTGATACTTTCATTGTGGGTTGCCTTGTGGCAGGCTGGGACCCAGGACTCCTTGTGTGTCCACAGGCCCAGTGTCATAGCCCAGCTTCTTCATGTCCTTGGTCACCACATTGAAGAGGAGGGTGACAAATCCCTGAGAGCGGACACGGGTCACTGGAGACATGAGGTGAGCATTAGCTGGGTTTGTTAGGGATAAACATGGCAAACCACCTGCTGAAGCCCTTGTGTAGGTAGTGTTCTAGAAAATTCTTTGGGTGGCTTGTTTGGGTCCTAGTTGTCAGGAAGCTCCCTGGCCTTCACCCATGTGTTTCCCAGACTCCTAGGGGTTGGGGACCCACCTCTTCCCTTCAACTAGGATTGGGAATGTCAGCTTTACCTTCCCGGCCTTCACCCTGGGCCACCACCTTGGGGTCTGTGTACTCAGGCCGCCGTCCCATGAACCAGCTGAGGACAAAGGAAAACATAAGTGAGGAATACTTAGAACTTGATGGCTTCGGACACTGGAGTGCTTTCCCTCCTATAAGTGTTGGGACAACCTTCTGCCTTATCTGACAGGCCAGGTGGGGTGCCAGGAGATGTCCCCTGTTTGGGTCTGTGGCCAGCAGCCCTAGCAAGGTGCTCCAACCAGTGTCCAGCCTGCCCTGCCAAGTCTTGTGGGTTTGCATCACCAAGTACAACTGACCCCATAGCAACCTCCCAAAGAAACAGATGGGTCAGAAGAGGAGAAGCAAGAAGACAGTGTGACCCTTAGTGTCCTTAGGAGGGAGAAGCCAATCTTAAGTGGCAGATTTAGCTCCTTAGACTGCCTCCTTGTACGGGATCCAGAACAAACCACACCCTGTCACTGGTAGACCTGTTTGTCTACTGTAAAAGATAATAGCACCTACCTCACGGGACCCTATCTGCTGCCACATAGCATTACCCTTTCTAGGGAGGATCTGGCTCTGGAAGGCTCTGGGTAAACAGGTCATCTGACGTTTAGTCTTACTTAGCTAAGGGTACCATTCAGCCCCAGGCTCTGGCTGGCAAGCTCAGAAGCACTTCCTACAAATGTCCTGTGACTCAAATAGGCCACAGTCTGACTGCAACTTAACTTCAGATCTTGGGCCCCATCCAGGGCTCAAAGGCACATGGACAGGATGTACAGGCCCATGGGTTTGAGGCAGACAGGATTTACCTAAGCACAGACCCAGGACCAACATAGACTTTGTTGAACAACATTCCCGTTTGCCTGCGGAGGTGAGGCTTTGTCTTTTCCCTGGGCAGTTTGTGGCAGGTTTGAAAGGTAGCCATGACTATACATTCACCACCCATAACTGCCGAAGGCATGGACAGATGGATCTTTGGGCTTCTAGGCTAGAATACCTCAGCAGCCCTATTGGACGCCAGGCAGGAGGTCCTGATAGGACAACGGTGAGGAGTGCTATTCACACAACCAAAGGTGGGGGCTAGGAAACAAAGAGTCCCTGTAGTTAGGCATCCCAGAAAAATCTGGAAGTGTGCATACATGTGCCTCTTCCTGTTTCCCCATCAGAGCGAAGCTCTAACTGTATTCACCTCGGTACTATGAGGAGTCTCAAAGAGTAATCCCTGGCAATAAAGGCACATCCCACCCTCATCATGTTTCCAGTTCTCTTCTACACATGGTTTTCTCATCTGAGAAGAGACACACTGTTGGGAGAATGTTCCAGGCAAGGACTGACGCAGAACAGATCCTAGTGTGCTCAAAAACCTAAGGCCAGGGAAATGAGAAGCAAGCAAGAAAAAGGCTACTGGCATCCTGGCCCAAGTGACTCCTAAATACAGAGGGTGTGCCAAGGCAGCTTCCCGCAGCAAAGCAGCACCATCCTAAGGTTTGCAAAGACTAGGGTAGAGAGGCTGCCAGGTTGAGTAACAACTGGAGATACTGAGCAAGGACTGAAGATGTTGAAGGTTGCTTTATTTGTGAAGAGGGCCTATGTAGGAGTTACTAAGAATGCTGCAAGGTAGGACTTAGCCTGCATTATCGAGGTAGGCATAGGCAAAGTGTAGCCAAGGCAGCCAGCCATAAGTCCATCCTCCTATAGCCCAGAAACTTTGCTTCATCTCTCTCAAAAACTGGGGTCCAAGTTCCCTTCTCCAGGGCAAAAGGACTCTGATCAAGTCCCTCTCTGCTACTAGCTTGCCAGAGGGAACCCAGTGTCCCTTCACTTTCCTTAAGTCTTCCTTGGGGCTTGCAAAAGCTCTTGGGGCCCTGTGTGTGGAACATTTCCTAGATTCTTCATGGCTACTGCTTGACTTTGCTCTTGTTCCTACCTAAAGTGGTCTCCCTGAGGCACCCATGTGTGAAGGCATTTAGTGGATGTTCATAATATAAGATCACTGTTACTGTCTTAAGGAGTTTGCCTCATGCTCTTGCAGCCCAGCAGGCAGCATTTCCATGTGACAAAGACTGATGCACAGAAGGAAGCCAGAAAGTGGCCCAAGGAAGCCCAAGGGTTCAGCAGTTCTCCTGCCTGCACACCTGTCTCTAGGTGCTGACACTTGAAGACCTGTGAGGTTTCCAGGTCTCAGGAGGGTGGAAGGTGCTGGCCAGTTAGTCACCCATTAGCTCAAGAGGCAGCAAGGCCGCAAGCAGAAAACCCACCTTGTGAACTTTTGCAGTGTAGATGTAGACTCCGGCACAAACATGGGGATGGTCCTCTTGTACCTGAAACAGTATTTTCATACAGAAATGTGCTGAGGAACAGTACAGAGTGCAAGCCTGTACAGATGAAGGTGTGTGGATGCACATAGAACCTTTTCTTTCTACACCCATGTATGTGAGTCTTTTCCAAGGTGCAGATTATACCCAGGCCCCTGAATATATATATCTTACCCAAGTCCAAGGAAGGAACATTGACAAGAAAGCCTGCTGTCTAAAAGTGCTGTTCCCAAGGTTTGCCTGCCCAGTCAGGGGCAGACTGCAGGCTAGAGGCCAAGTCAGAGTGGGCACCTACCGTCCAGGAGAAAAGGGTACATGCACTGCTCCATAGCCTCGGACCACATCATTCCCAAACACATCTGGTCCATACACACTGAGCACGATCTGTGGCCCTTGGGAAGGACAAGGGTAGCATGTCAGGGAACAAGGGAAGGAGTATAGTATATGATGCACCTAGCTAAGGTCTGGAGCAGGGACTCAGGATGATGTCCAAAGCCCTGGGCACCAAGGGCTTCTGTCCTCTGCTACTTTCTGTGCCTCTGTTGGTGCCCTGGGAGTGCTCTCCATACCTCTGCTCATAGCTGGGGAGAGAGAGCCAAGACATTTAGTAGATACAGGAAGTTCCTTGGAGGTTCTGTGCCAACCTCGGGCCCCTACCTTCTTTCTCTCTAATGGATACAGCCTTCCCAAGCTGTGATGCCCTGTGGGAGGGGCTTGTCGTGAAGGTTCTAAGAGCAGTTAAAGAATTTGTGGCCTTCCAAGTATTTCTCCTTAACATACTGGTGTTTACATATGCTTCCTGATCATATCCAGCCAAGCCTGCCAGGCCTCCACCTCCTTAGTGTCTGACCTCTGTGTGTAGCAGACAGACCTACTGCAGGTTCAGATGACAAGCTGGCTCTGTGCTGAATGGCTTCAGACAAGTTTCCCAACTATTTTGCCCTCAGCTTTCCTGTGTCTGAAAGCCTGGGAATAGTAGCAAGCATAAGAGGCGCTCAGTAAGGGTAAATAAAGTCTATGCCCTCCCCACTACTACTCTGCCTCCAAAAGTAACCTGTGAGTGACTCAGTCCTATATAGTGGTTTGTTCATTCTCAACACTAAAGACCTGACCATATCTTGCAGCCAGCTGTTAGTGGTCATGGGCATATGGGCTGTTCCTCAGAGAATGTTGCAATGAATCTTAGATCACCTACATACAGGTTCTTGACACACTTGTGTCCTCATCCCTGAGCACACTGCTGGGGATGTGCTCAGGAAGGGACTCACACACAGGCAGGTCTCTGCTCAGTTCTACGGTTTTCCGTTGTACTCCTTTCAGTGGGCGCTTCCGTTAACTTGTTCTCTACACTAAACACTTGTCAATCTTGGCAGGTGAGTCTTAACCTGGACTGGTCAACCTCCATTGCTTTGCTAGCTTCTCAAGGGCTCAGAATTAGAAAGATGGCTGTAGGATGAAGGGGAGGATTTGTATAGAGTATGAACAGAGACTCAGAAGAGTGTCCCAGACAACCAGCACAGGATGAGCAGGCATTGGAGCTGACTGGAACACTATGCAATGGGAAGTTGAGCAACTTGGGATCAGACCCTCAAGGCAGGTGGCTGCAGCACTGAACACCAGGTTCTGTGTGCAGTCATCAAAACAAGCACATCAGAGGCTAAGGCACAAACTGAGACACTGGCAATGGCCACCTGAAGGAGAGTGGTAAGACGTGCAGCAGAGGATCCACCCCTCCCATCCTGGCCCTCAGACTCACAGCCATAGGGGTTGGTACTTTTAAAGGTGACATCGATGGGGAAGTTCCACACCAGTGCTTGCCGTACATCTTGGCTCTTGGATGCAATCTGTGATATCCCCTCCTCCAGACCCTGTATAGATATTGACAGAGACGGCTGGTCTGAGTTGCAGGTACTCATGCCCCTTCTTATGCAGGCAGGTTAGGAAGGCCATTTACTACAGTCTTTCTGTGTGGCTTGTTCGTACCCTTTTAGATATTTGTCCAAAAGCGCCTTGGTGTTGATTCCACCCCACCACCACTATCCCACCCCCTTTATCTGTATACTCTAGCTCCTGATGCACTGCCCTCTTCATTCCACCCATCTTTGACTAAAAGACTAGACTGTCCTACTTAATTGTATGGGCTTCCTCTACAAGAATATCTGCTCCACAAAGATGGGTTCTTCTGTCAGGCATCGGTCATTCCCAGAGGACTCAGTAATAAGTAATGAAAGTCTGGGCCATTGAGATGACTCGGTGGGTAAAAGCACTTGTTGCACAAGCCTGACAACCTGAGCTCCATCCTCAGAACCATGGGAAATCAAACTGATAAATAACCTTGGTGTGGTGGTGTGAGACAGGGATGGAGAAGCCAGGCATTGGTGGCACGCACCTTTAATCCCAGCACTTGAGAAGCAGATGCAGATGGATCCCTGTGAGTTTGAGGCCAACCTGGTCTACTGAGCAGGTTCTAGGACAGGCTCCAAAGCTACACAGAGAAACCCTGTCTCAGCTATCCACTTTCGAGTATGAAACACAGCAGCAAGAAACAGGATAGTTTCTGCCTTAAAACAAGGTGGGAGATGAGAACCAACTCCAGAAACATTGCCCTCTGTCCCCCAATATGTGGGATGTAGTATGTATGTGCATGTACTTATATACACAAAATAAGTTTGTTTTGTTTTTCCAGACAGTGTTTCTCTGCGTAACAGCTCTGAATGTTGTGGCACTCACTATGTAGACAAGCTGGCCTCAAACTCACAGAGATCCACCTCCCCTGCCTCCCAAGTGCTAGGATTAAAGGTGTCCATCATCACTGCCTGAAACAGTTTTAAAATTTTTATACCTGGGTAGTGGCCCAGGCCTTTACCTGGGCCAGAGGCAGAGGCAGTTGGATCTCTGTGAGTTTGATGACAGCCTGGTCTACAAAGGGAGTTTCAGGGCAGCCAGAGCTACATGAAGAAACCTTGTCTCAAAACACCTCCATCCCCAATTTTTCCATTTTATGGTGTTTTGTCTGCATGTATGCCTATGTACTATGTGTGTGCCTGGTATCCATGGAGGCCTGAAGAGGGCATCAGATCCTCTGGGATGGTTGTGAGCTGCCATATGGGTGCTGGATATCAAGTTGGGGTCTTTTGCAAAAGTATCCACTCAATTGCTTAGTCATCTCTCCAGCCCCAAAGGTAGCTCAAAACCACCCGTAAATCTAGTTCTAGGGGATCTGACCTCTGGTCTCTACAACCACTTGCATTCACACCCATACATAAACACACAACTTAAAATAAGTCTCTAATAAATATTGAAGGATGGATATATATGGGAAAAAAGAAAACAGATAAGTACTAACATGTCTGTGGTATAAATGAAGAAACTCAGGCTCAAAGAAGTTGGGCTTTTGTGTTTTTTATTTTTTATTTTTCCATTTGTTTGGGTCTTATATGTAGCCCAGGATGACCTTCAACTCCCAGAGATGCTCCTGCCTCAGCCTCTGCACTGGATTACAGGCATATGCTACCATGTTTGGCTAGCTTCCACTTTTTAAACTATTGTGTTAAGTATGTGCTGTGCTAACAAAAAAAAAAAAAAAAAAAAAACAGGGTAAGGTGGTCTGCACCACAAACTCTTCCTGAAGTGAAAGACTGCCCTCAAAACCTTGAGAGGAGATCCTTCATTTTGTCCTGGCTTCTGGGTGTTCTCTGCTGTCTGAGGAGGGGCCAGATTTAGCGGGGGAGGGGTTACTGGCTGACGGTGTTTACAGCCACTGGCAGGAGTTTTCCAGGGCCTGCCAGTTTATGCTGCCATTTGTCCCTCTTGGCTGCCACTAGCAGACTCCAGGGTTGCATCAGTGAACCCAGCCATGGCTGCATTTGGTAAACTAGCTTTGCCAGGAACAAGCTCATGTTTGGGTCCTCTCTGACTTTAGTGTCTACCTCTTGGGTCTGGAGTAGAAGGGTATGACAGATAGTTTAGGAATCCCTAAAGCTCTAAGGAGGGGAGGCCCATGAGTCCAACTTACCGCTGTGGGGGCCCAGTCCTGGCCATACACAAAGCAGTACTTGCAGTAGAGGTCATCATACTCTGGGAACTGAGGGAAAAGCAGGCAGGATTTTGTTTAGGGAATGCAAACAGCCCATACATTAGCTAGGTAGGTGCAGTGGGTAGGAATTAGCAATATGAGGCACCTGGGATGGAGGGTGTGGATATCTGCAGTAGGGGACAGAAATGGGGAGGTCAGGGTTAGCCCCAGACTGTCGGTGCTCACAGGCTTCTGCTTGGGGTCCACTTTCTGTGTGTCTTTCCCAGTCCATCACCTGGCAAGCCCCTTGCCAGTCCTTCAGAATCCACCCTTGGGGAGCTTGTTCTTCACTCCTTAGCTGGTGAAGGATCATTGCTTGGCTCCTTTCACCCTCTGTATTTCTGCATCCAGGTACAAATGCCTATGTCTGACAACCCTGTCTGACTGAGGAAGGAGCAGGTTTAATGACTCTGTAGGTCCCCAGTGCTGGGCACAAATTACATCTACAGAAATCATGCTGACATGAAACCTAAGTTCTATGGCTAGAAGTGAGAGCCTGGAAGATGGGAGGACCCAGAGTAGAAGCTGGAGGGAGGTGGCTAGAGTTCTCAGCCCAGCTGGGCATCCTTCTATTGGATAGAGGAAAACAGGAGAGGACGAAGTACCTGATGAACCTGGAAAGCAGGAATACCTACTAAACCTAGAGCCTGGCGGAACGCAAGTCATCTAGCCAAACCTCAGAATAAGTAGGAATAATGAGCATTTCAACAAGCTGCCCAGAAAAATAATGTAGCAAAGTTCTGACTGTGTGTCAGAAAGACTTGGGTTCGAACCCCACTTGGCCACTGCCTTCTGATAAGTTTTCCTAGCTGTTAAGTGGGTCAGCTGAGCCTTCATTCCCATTAGTCCCAGCCCATCACTCAATCAAGTAGACAGGATCCAAGCTTGGAGGCCATAGTGTGACTTTGGTGCCAGTTCAAGGTCTCGAGGTCTGTTTTCATGCCTGCTTGCCCAGCCCAGCAACGAGGCGTCAGGACTTTTAAACGCTGATTCTCTTTTCCAACGAATTGAGAGGCCAGAGCAATGGCTTGGCTCTCTAGGAACTGAGGGAAGAAGCCGGGGAAGGGAACGGGCGGGTCCCGGGCAGGGTCCACGGCAGCTCACCTGGGCGCTCTCCACCTGCCCATTGACCATGAGTAGGAAGACGCTGGGACTCGCAGCAGCCATCCCAAGGCTGGAGCAGGAGACCGAGCAGGCCGCGCGCCTTTGTCAGGAGGCTTCCGGGTTGCCTTGGAAACAGATGGCAAGCCATCTGGGACAAATTTCTTGGCGGCGACGATTTCGCGCAAGAACTAAAGTGCGCAGGCGCAGTAGTCTTGGCTGGCCCTGAGGACTATCTTCTGTTCCCGTCGCGTGAAACTAACTTTCAGGGCCTGGTCCTCGGGTCCGCATGGACTGTGATTGCACTAGCCTGGCCATGCTTGAAGCTCGCAGGTTGGGGAGCTGATTGACGAGAAGCAGCTGCCCAACTCGGGCCCGTGTAAAGTCAAGTGCCAGGAGGTGACACTGTGGTCACACACCCGCACAGGCGGCTCAGCTGGGAGTCCTGGTTCGCAGGGTGGCCCAGCGCCCTGCCCCAGATGAAAGGTACTCCCTTTAGGCCTTTGAGGCTCTCGTTCTCGAAACCCCAAGAATCCTTCGGTCCAAGCCCCCGTGTGTGAAGCTGGGACCCACGGAGAGGCAGCAGAGATGTTAGAGCTTGGTCCCAAGCCTCCAGCACTCTCTCCAGCAGATGCAGCTGTCATCTCTTGGATCCAATCGTACTTACCCCCACCACTGTCCAATCCAAGATGGCTTAATGCTAGCTAGCCTTTGCCTGAGATCCCCAAGTGTCTGTCCTCATTGCCAAGACCATGGTAAACACTTGGGAACTACTTCTTGAATGAATAATTGATTACATCTTTGTTTGCTGGAGAAAGAGTCTGAAATTCAGACCTAGTGGGTAATTTGGCCATAGTCATTGCAGTAGTTTAGGCTTCACATGCAGAACTTCACACGGAAACTACATTAAGTTCTGGAGAGCCTAGAAACAGATGGATACAGAGGTGTACACTTCAGGGCTGTAGTGTGGAATCCAAGTCATCACAGCAGTTGCCAGCTCGGGGTTCCACAGTCACCTGTGTGGAAGAGGGAAGGTGTGCGGTCACAGCCTCCCAGCTGCAGGATGCTTTAGTTTACAGCCAAGAGTCCTAGAAGCAGAGCCTCTGCCCCAACTCCCCCCCCCCCCGCACCCCCGCCCCTTGCTGGTGGCTGCCACCTGCTGGTCTCAACTGGAAGAGTTGGAAAGTTACCGAGAGCTTTTTCTTAATCAGTGATTGATGGGGGAGGGCCCAGCCCATTGTGGGTGGAGCCACGGGGCAGTTGATCCTGAGTTCTGTAAGAAAGCAGCAGGCTGAGCAAGCCATGGGGGAGCAAGCTGCCCTCCTCTATGGCTTCTGCATCAGCTACTGCTTCCAGATTCTGCTCTATTTGAGTTCCTGTCCTGACTTGCTTTGATGATGAACAGTAAGATGGAAGTGTAAGCCAAATAAACTCTTTCCTCCACAACTTGTTTGGTTATAGTGTTTTATATTAGAAATAGAAACCCTAAGACAAGTTGGTACCAGGACTGTGGGGATATTGTTGTGGCACACATGATGATGTTGTTTTGGGGAGGATTGTGGAAGGACTTAGAACTTTAGGCTAGAGAAGCCATTGTTGAGTGTTGGTGATAAGAATGTTGAGAACGCTGGACATTGGTGGCACACACCTTTAGTCCCAGCACTCAGGAGGCAGAGACAGGCAGATCTCTGAGTTGGAGGGCAATCTGGCCTACAGAGTGAGTTCTTGGACAGCCAGGGCTACACAGAGAAAACCTATCTTGAAAAACAAACAAACAAAAGAATGTTTTTGAGAACACTGATGGAGGCCTGGCTTATGAAGACTACAATGGGCCTTTTGTATGTAGAATCTGTGGTGTCTGGTGAGCTGGGGCTGAAGAATCAGCTGTGACTGAGGCCAGTATCAATGAGGTGGACTCTCCTGAGAGTCAGCACACGGAAGCTGTGAAGATGTCATCCCCTGGAAAAGGAGTTATAGACAGTTGTGAGTTGCCATGTGGGTGCTGGGAATTGAACTCAGGACATCTGCAAGAACAGTCAGTGCTCTTAACCCCTGAGCTATCTCTCCAGCCCACCTCCTTGCACATCACGAATGTGATGGCGGGATGCAGTAGCCATGAATTCAGACAGCTAAAATGAAGGGAGAACAACAGAGTGGGAAGAGAGCCTTAGTCCCTGACAAACTCTATTAAGTGTATTAGATTTCTGAGGCAGGGTAGAGAGACAGGAGGAGGACAGTAGACCTCAGTAGACAGAACTGTTCATTTCAAACAGCGTTGGACACCCTCCCAAGGGAAAAGGGAAGTCTGTTGGGGAAGTAGGCTGGCTGGGACCCTGAATAGGGCCTGGGTGGGTGAGGGGCTTGGGAACTTGGAGATTGCTGCAGCCATAGTCCACATTTCTCTCCTCAACCCACTCCTTCCCAAAATTGTTTACTCAAGGTGAGACAGACTGTTCCACAGATGTTACTTTCTGGGCTGACTGAGCAAGGCCATTGTAATCTCACAGGATCCTGTCTTACAACTGAGGAGCTCCGCCAGAGCAGCTGGGCCAGCAAAGTCCTTCAACTTATTTTTCTGTATGTGTATATGCATATATTTATCACATGTGGGAATAAGAGAACAACTCTTGGAAATTGGGATATGAGGATAGAATTCAACTTGGCAGGCCTGTGGGCAAGTACATCTACTGTTGAGCCATTTCATCACCAGTCCTGGACCTCTCTCTCTCTCTCTCTCTCTCTCTCTCTCTCTCTCTCATTTTTATTTTGAGATATGGCCTTGTTATGTATACCAGACTGGCCTCAAACTTAAGAGATCCTCCTCCTGCCTCTGCTCCCTGAGTGCTGGAAGGGGGCGAGCAACATCATGCTTGGGGAATGGACTTCTTATGACGATCTTCAATCTGGCCTTTAAGCCATGGTTGTTTGGGCCCTGTTACTAGCATCCAAGTGCAGTTCTGACTGGTCTTCTCGGGTGCAGGGCTGGGGTCACTGCAGCCTGGGAAGCCCCTCTCACACCATCTCTGAGGTCTGTACTCCAGCTCCCCAGCATTTGCATGGTTAATAGTAGGACCCTTGTTGGAACTGCAGCTGGAGTCAGAATTTAGTCCAGGTCCCCATTTTTAATCTTGAGTGATTCTTTCCCCTGTGACAGGCAACAGGACATTTATGTAGCCAGTAAAAGCAAGGCTGACAGGGTGGGGACTGGTCGAGAGCACTAGCTAAGAGGCTTACAGTTCAGGCCTTGCTTGTATGGCAGGCAGGGTCATGGTGGAGGTGAGGAAGTTCTTTTGGTTCTAAACTCTCCTCCCTAACCTGATGTGAACTGAAGTTCCTAGGGAAAAGGCTGCACCTGTATACAGATTCTACAGCTGGCTGATTGGTTAGAAAGTCTGTGCTTATAAAGAGTTGGAATGTAGGTCCTGAGCCAAACTATCTTAGGTTAGCTTTAAATCTTTGTTTGTTTGTTGTTTTTGTTGTTGTTTGTTTGTTTTCTTGAGACAGGGTTTCTCTGTATTGCTTTGGAACCTGTCCTAGAACTAGCTCTTGTAGACCAGGCTGGCCTCGAACTCACAGACATCTGCCTGCCTCTGCCTCCCGAGTGCTGGGACTAAAGGCATGTACCACCACCATCTGGCTAGCTTTAAATCTTAACAGCCATTCATGGTCCAGCTGTGGGACCCTAACATCTGTTCTTCTACCAGGTATATCCACTGACTCAAAGGTCAACAGTGTTATCAGATGACACCTGGTGTCTGCAGCAGAGACTGCTCTCTCTGCTGTGAAGAGTTCTCAACCTTTGGGCTGCGACCCCTTTGCAGGATCAACAACCTTTCACAGGGGTCACGATCACATAACCTGCATACCACATAATTACATTACTATAAAAACTTCAGGAAAGTGTTACTACATTAGAACACAGTATTTGGAGTGACCTAAATCTGTGTAACTGGGCCATGGTCACTCACATATGGTTCTCTCTAAGGTGAGAGCTGTGTTTTTATATCCAACATGGGATCCCAAGGATCGTGGAGAAGTCACCTGGATCAGCACCATGTGCAAAAACAGGTCCCCTGTGTCCAAACATTGGGTGTTGCCTTCTTGAATGGTGCTGGTGAATTCTTTCTGGGGTTCAGACCTCCTCTAGTTTGGTTGATGGCTTCCTGAGTGTGTGTGTGTGTGTGTGTGTGTGTGTGTGTGTGTGTGTGTGTGTGTAGAGGGTTTTGTGCATGTTTGAACACCCATGGGAACCAGAAGAGGGTGACAGATCCCCTGGAGCTGGAGTTACAAGCAGCTGTGAGCTGGGAACAGAACTCCAGTCCTCTGAAAGAGCAGTAAATGCTCTTAACTGCTGTGTCATCTCTTGAACCCCACTGTTTCATTTTTAGGTGACTGAGGATTTTATTTGGATACTGTGTTTTGGTTTCAGAGCATTTGGTTTTAAGCTCTCTACTTTTATTTTAGTCATTCTATTTATTTTTTGTTCTCTGGTGTTTGGCTTGTTAGTTTTATTTCTGACTTATATTGTGTAGTTACTTTCCTTGTTGCTGTAGCAAAAGTACCAGCCCAAAGCAATTTAAAGGGTGTATTCCATGACAGTAGGGGTGGGATGGTAGGAGCTGGAAGTCACACTGTAGAGAATGAGAGTATGCAGAATCAGCAAACTTTCTCCTTTGTGTGCAGTCCAGCCATTACCCAAGTCCAGGAAATGATGCTGCCATTTTTGGGGGGTGGATCTTCCCACTTCAATGAATCTAATTTAGATAATCCTTCATAGATGGTCAGAGGCTAATTTAATCTAGATAATCCTTCAGTGTGCCTGAAGGCTTGTCTCCTAGGTGATTGTAGCTGCTCTCAGTTGGCAAGCAACATTAACCACCACACTTAGCATGCCAACTTAAGGTGTTATGTGTGTATAAGTGTAAACATATTAAAGATGACTTTGACTGCTATTGCCTCGTTTGAAAAACCGATTTTTAAAAAGTTATTTTCTTAGCCAAGCCTAGATTTAACTCTAAAGGTTTCAGACTAGAAGAAGCAATAGCTCATGATCCTTCCTAAACAGTTCCACTAACTAGGGACCAAGAATTCAAGTATATGAGCCTAGGAAGGCCATTCTCATTCAAACCATCACAATAGCAAGTTTAACTCTAAAAGGTCCTCTCTCTCTCTCTCTCTCTCTCTCTCTCTGTGTGTGTGTGTGTGTGTGCGCGCACGCATGC